GCAGCGCCCCTGCGCGGCCGCCCGCCCCGGCGCAAAGCCTTCCTCCCCACGCGCCACCCAGGGCGCCCCTGGCCCGCAGGAATCCCCGCCGCGGGCGCGGGCGGGGGTGTTTGGGTGGCAACCCGAAAGCACGAGGGGAGTCTGGGAAAACGGGGGGGCGAACTCGGGAAGACGCAGGAGTGAGGGTGGGGGGCGACGGGGGGGCACTGCGGCTACAGCGCCCTGCGTGGGAGGGCCCCGGGAGGAGGGGGCGCGGGAGTGGGGCTGGATCTTACCTAACAGGTAAGATCGACCCCTCTAGAAGGACGTTTCTAGTCAAGGCTTTTTCTCCCTGGAAATATAAAAGCTGAATTTCAGTTTCGGGGTGATAGGCGAGAGTGAGATCTGTATTTTTGTGGTTTTTCTAAAGGACTTTTTGGGTCAGCTTTCCACCTTGGAATCCTCGCATTTGCTGCAGTGAAGTACCTCGAAGAAACAGAGGGACGCCCAAGGGCAGTGACTGGGGGTGTTATGGTCACTTGCTAAACGGGAACAGGAATCCCTGGGAAGCGTCATACGTCCGGCGCCTTGAGGTTAGCGCTGGTCAATTAGGGAGAAAATATAAATATCACAGCGTCTCCCCCACCCCCTATCCCAGCGAGGGGGCGGGGGTTCACACCTTGGGCGAAGGCTTGGGGAGGAAATGAGATGCTCTCCCCTTACCATATTCCGAAAGCAATTTGTGATTTTTAAAAGACGTTGGGGACTACAGAGGGTTCGTGAGGCCAAAACCCTACTGTGTAAATATTGGCTGAAGTGTTTGTTTCACACACACAGCATCCACACCCATTGAACCACCCCATAAAATGTTTACCCTTGACCACAAGGATAATCGGGAGAAAACAAGGATGGTGCCAGCTCAACTGTACAGGAAAATGGGTACTTCAGGATTAGAACAGGTCATCAGCCTGGGTCTTCTGAGAGCGATTCTTAACACAGTTCCCTTGCGGTATCAGTCTCATCACAAGCAAACGCTCCCCGAAGTTTTTGTTTGTTAAGCTGACCTGTAAACAAGCAGTTTGTCCCCTGCTGGTCCAGCTGGCATTAACAACCCTTTTAAAAATGACTTCTGTCACTCTACTTAACGCTATCTTATTTTCCCACCCTATTCCCTGGCCAGTTTGGGGTCTCTGCCCCCTCTCCGCAAGGGAGACCCTCCTCAGACGCCAGCTCTCTGGCACTGCAGGATGCTCGCAGGGAAACGCAGTAGCTCAGGCGCTGGGCATGCTCAATGGCCGGACCGGCTGGGCCGAGGAGGAGCGCGCCTGGGCCTAATACCGGGGTGAGGGGCGGGGGAGTTTCTTGGCGAAGCCTGCTGATTGGTGACGCTGCCTGTCCTTCAAGCCTTGCCTTGAGGGAGGGGACGTGGGGAGAGAGGGTGAGGGTACCAAGGTAGGTTGCAAAGCGCAGTGAAAAAAAAGAAGAAAAAAGAACCAAAGGCGCCATTCAGCAGCGTTATGACACGTGAATTGGGGGAGTCGGTGTCTGCAGAGGGGCTACTCCCCACCGAAGCCTGGGAGTTTCTCATTTCCTCTCTCACCTTCTTGTTCCCTGCCATCATGCAGCCTCATCTCAACCCGGTTAATCTATAATTCGTGTGCATGCTTTTGAATTGAAAGCCCGCCCTTCTCTACCTCTGACAGCTTGGTGATGTGGGCACACGTGCCCACTACAGCAGAGCTATAAATAGCAGATATAATCTGCAAACGAGGCGGCAGTAACAGTGGCCGAGATTCCGGGGGAATAGCGCGCTTGATGGGGAGCAGGGGTTGCGGATCAGGGAAGTCTGAACTTAAAGCAGGTAAAGAGTAAAGTAACTGTGAGGTTTTACCCTTGGCGAAAGAAAAAAAAAGGTAAAAGGATTGTTTACTAGTAACAATGAAATCTAAGGCCAAAGGGCTTTTTACAGTTTTGATGCTTAGGGCAGGGTCAGGGTGGAGAGTATATCACATTTTGTTGGAAAAACAATCCAAGTCCATTTACTTTTGAAATGCTCCCCCCGCAAAAAAATGAAAAAGCTAAATAAAGCTAAATAAATGGAATAAAGGAAAAGAAAATACTCTATCCTAGCAGGAGGAGGGGTCAGGGAGATCAAGATAATTTGTGAATATTCTACAATAATCTTCACAGAAAGGTTAGAATTTTGATCATGTATAACTTATTTTAAAGCCTTAAAATAACACAGTGACAAAGAATTTCAGCTTTAAAAAAGCAAATTCAGTGGCTAAAATATTCATTAAAAATCATGAAATAAGTCAGCTTGGTGTGACACTTTTTTTTTCCAAGCCAATTTCATGTGGTAGATGATCACTGATCATGGAATGTTATTGTCCTTTCTTCCTACTTGCTGATGCTTTACTACCAACGTTAAAGGTGGTTAACATTATTATAATAATACTACAGTAATTTCATTTGTCCTTTACATTTTTTTAATGAGTCGGTTAACTCTGGAAATCCGTATTTGGTTAATACAGACTAGAAAGAGATGCTTTTGTGGAAACTGACTGAAGTAATTTTGAGCAGGTACAAGTATTATCCTGTCACCATATGTGAAATTAGTCTTGTGGTGTACTGCAGTTAAATATCCTGTATGAAAAATTCACTAAGTGAAAATTTACAGAAACCAAGAAAGCAACCTTACCAAATATATTGCTCAATGCTGCCATCTATAGGACAGTTTGAGATGATTTGGGTAAGAGCCTAAAGTGCGTTTTAAAACTACAAGAGCTGAAATAATGATTCATCAAAACACTGGGACAGCTATGTTGTTGTTGACAATGCAGTTATGATTCCAGGAGTTAAAACATTCAACACCACGAGTGCACTATTGGGCAATACTTCTGTAATTAGCTTTAAAATGGAAATACTCGCCTGTATGTGACACTATCACGGACATCATACAAGCTATAAATTTCTACATATTCCCCTAAAGTGATCTCTAGCTAGACATTTATTTTGGTTATGAATTAATCTGTTATATAGAGTAACCATTTTATATATGCTCAACATACAGAAGTATAAGTTACTGTCATAAGAGAAATTAGAATTGAGTTGACTGAAGGTACAACTAACCATTTGAAAATTAAAAGTTTTACTTAAGATAAACAGGTCACAGCTGGAGGAGCTGTTTAACTATTGTCCTCTCTAGAAGTAATTTTGGCAATTTAGAATGATACCTGAAGGAATATCAAAACTTGTAGATTTTTCTCATTTTAATGTCTTTTTCAATTTTAAGATTGCTCGGTAGTAACCAATATTTGAATGTCTACTCTGACAAGCAGTATGAAATATATAAAAAATAGCTTCTTATAGTTTTGGTAGGGTAATAAGTGAGATACAAAATAAACATAATTGATCAATGAAATCCTGTGTGAGTGCATTAAAGGTCAAGTAAGTGGTATTTACTTGGAGCAGGTAGAGATCCTGGTAGATGAAATAACTAAAGAAATCTTTATGGAGGCGAGAAGCCTTACACTTGAACTTGAAGGGTGGTTATAACGCCTAAGTATCTGGCTTTTTTTTTTTTTTTTCATTTAGGTACTTTAGGGCACCTCCTTGAGTTAGGCATTAGGCGAGGCACTGAGGATTTAAATATGTAAGACATGATCCTGCTCACAGGAAGCTTACAGGGAAGATGCAAGACAAATGAATACAATTGTAAGGTACCGGGATCTCAGATCAGTGTGACCTACAGGGCACTGGGATCTCAAATGAATCCCGTGATAACCAGTTGCCTTCTGGTTTAAGAGTTATCAGTCACAGACGCAGTTTGAGACCCTCTAGATGCCTCTCCCCTTAATAACCTTGTTTTCTCTTGTACTTAAAATCTTTCATCCTTTTGGATTAAAATGTGAAATAGTGAAATTAAAAGTGAACCAGAAAGTCACATTTAGACTTAGATTAAAATGTGAAATAGTGAAATTAAAAGTGAGCCAGAAAGTCACGTTTAGATTTAGAATCTGCTGGAGCCATGCATCTCAAACATGAGGATCTTGTTAATGCAAGTTGGGCTTTTGAAGGTCTAGGGCAGACTGAGGTTCTGTGCTGTTAACATACTCCCCGCGATGCTGATTCTACTGGGTGGGTGTGGGCACCACCCTTTCTGTAGTGCAGTTCTAGGTGATGGATGGTTAGTTTAAAGGCGCGATACTGTGGTGCTGTGAAATGCAAGCAGGATACTTACATTTTAGTATTATATACATACCAAGAATAACAGCAATATGAAAACTCTTCCTGACTGAGACATCACTGCATTGGAGTTTCTCTTTTCAATCACAAGTATCAACTCTTTCTGACAAATGTGAAGAGCTATTCTCTCGGAAACATTTGCATTAGTGTTTTCCAAGGTGTGATTAAAAATGCAAGCTTCTGGCTATATTCAAATCCTATCGAACCAGAACCTCTTAGAGAACGCTGGGCCCCTCAAGGAATGCATTCTAAGTAGTATTCCAAGAGATTGTTATTTACACTAAAATTTAAGAATCATTGGCTTAGGGCCAAAGGAAAATTAATGAAATACCTTGGGAACAAGATTTCAGAAAGACACTAATACTTTCAACAGATGACTTCAAAACATTTGTTGTTTTTGGTGTAAATAAAGCATAAAATATACTGATGGATGTGGGTGAAGGAGAGGGAGAAGGTGAAAACTCTAGGCCACTATTTTTTTCCATTTCAGAAATTTTACTGATTGGTGATTTTTTAGATTAGTCACTAATAACTGACACATATCTAAGAGATTTGCTTTCTCTCTTTTTTTAATGTTCTTGATTTCTTTAATAATTGTATTTTCATTTTCTTTTGCATTCTTCGATAAGGATTGGGAGTTTGTCATGCAATTTGTCATCTTAGTGCCACCAAATCTTTTGGTCATTTACTCTAAAGAAAGAAACCTCAGCTGTTTTTTGTATTTGAAAAGGCATATATCTTATCTA